AAAAAAAAGAAATGATGGAAACTGATACATGGAAAAATATGTAAACATTTGAAAACATGCTAAGTAAAATAGATGTAAAGATCCTATATTAATTTCATTACATAAAATGTCAAGAATAGGCAAATGTACAGAGTCAAAAAATAGAGTTATGTTCACCAGAGGATAAAGGGAGTAAAAGAAACTGTTGACCAGGATGGGGTTTCCACTGAGGTGCAGAAAACTGGTAGAACTAGGTGGTGATGATAATATTATGAGTATTTTAATATTTTAAGTAGTAAATTTTATCTGAACAAATTGAAAAAATATAGTATTGAACAGATTGAAATTTTTCTTTTTTTTGTATTAGTGCATATTAATTATAGAGGTTCATGTGTTTCATTATTGCATTCCATACATGAATATAACATACACACAATCAAATGATGAATGGTGGGAGGTTAGGTCACCAAAGAGCCTCCTAGGCCAATATAAAGTATATAAAGATACAAAAAGTATACCTTTGAATAATCTTTGGAGGATAGAATATGAATAACTCTGCAGAAGAAAAGTCTTGGAACATGGAGGCTTGAATCGGTGGATAATTTGGAAGGAAGGAAGGAACCCAGGATCAAGTACTTACTGTGTAGCAACCTCAGCACAGTCTAAATTACAAGTGAACATAGAAATTCTCCCTTTCAGCACTAGACAGTCTCCCTGAGCTTCGTTTGGATGAACAAGAAAAACCCACAGAGATGTGGTCTGTCATTTATCAGTTGAGATTTGTGTGTACCAGTGTTTATTTGTATGTCTATGAAAATAAGCATGTGAACATTTGCCACTGAAATAATGTTTTATGGTCCTGTAATGTCCAAAGTTCACTTTCCTGCTCATAGTCCATTTGGCCACAGATCTCACAAGCAAAACCTCATTTGTGAGACAAGCTTCTCTCTGCCGCTGGAGTTCTGCCTCAGGTGTCTTCTCTCTGTGCCTGTACAGAGAACACAAAGACATCTGATTCCCCTACCACAGAAGTCCAGGGCATAGCAGAAATTTCCTCCAGGACAGGTGCATCAGATATTAAACTGACTCCTCCAAGAAATGGTGGCTCAACAGATACAAAAACGTGAGTTTTATTTTAGTTACTGTTGTTATTTGTGCCTATGTATATGTGTGTATGAGCCTATGTTTAGTGTCTTTAAGAAAAGTATTCATGTCATGAAGAAAGACCAGGCTCCAGAGTACAAAGTTTGAGCTGGGTGGATGATGCTCAGGCCTGGCCATGTGACTCCTCATTTCTTCTCATCTTCTAATTAGTTTCCCCTAAGGAGTTCTCAGTTCACTGATCACTCCCCCATTAGATATCTCTGCTCTTCCACCACATTCTGCTACCGCAAGACCAGGCTGTCTTTCTCCATATATTTCTCCTCTTCCTACCTTTGCTGTTCTTTGCTAAATGACTCCTACATATTCTGAATTTTTTCTTTGCTCCAACTTATAATTCTGACTACCACAGTGATCATACTTCCAATCTTTCCATACATCATTAGAAAGTCTTATTTATTTATTTATTTATTTAT